TCCTCTCTAAAGACATATGTCTGCCACTATAAGGTGCCATTATAAATGTTGCTGATCCCTCTGACTCACAGTTTTGGGGTCATGTTCCTCTTAATTAATTAGTTAATAAATTATTTTTTGGCATGTATTCCCGCCCTGTGTGAATTTCTTACTGATGGGCATTTCCAATATCTAAATGCTGCCATGAGTAGCCAGGAATATGGAAAATGGATTAATACTTACCATAATTTACTTTTCCTGGCTATTCATGGAAGCATTTGGGTTTCCCCTCCATTTTCTTTTTATATTATCTTGTTACTACACTGAGGTGCAGGGGGTGATGGAAGTACTCTTATACCTGCCTACCTAATTATTTAATTGCTTTTCCTGTCCTATTGGCTGGAGGGAGGAGCTAACCCATCAGTTAAATGCTGCCATGAATAATAGCCAGGAAAAGAAAATTACGGTAAATATGAATACATTTTCCATGATAATATACATACATATACAATACATGGGGCAACACATATAAAAAACATATAGGATAATATTTATATATTTTAATGGATTATAGAATATGTAGGGGAAATGTATATGACACTGTTTTTATATCTGTAACCTTATTATTTGACAAATTATTTATTAAAAACCTTTTGACCAACTTTTGGTCAAGCTTTTTTATCTTTTTCTCTCCCCCAATAGCCATAGTTTCTGCCTGAGATGAAGCAAGGAAAATATTGGTAGATTTTAACATGATCCTGGTGGAACTGATTGAACCTATGTGCTCAGCTACATTTATTCTTTCCTTATTCTCTGCTGAGACTGAAGCTTCCTTGTATTTTTTTCCTCTTTTTTTCTCCACTGGGCGCTATATGATTAGTAGATGAATATTTTTAGCCATTGAACGCTTGTTGAAACAAAGGAAAATCCTGCGCCTGCAGGAGAGGAAACCCTTGGCAAGAACGTCCTGGATATACTCTTCCATGATTTCACTCTCATGGGAGAGACTGTAACACTTATTTTAATTGGAACTCAACTGCAGAATTTTCTAATTGCAGAAACTATTAGTTTCACCTCCTTTTATATTGAAATGAAGGAGTAGTTACTGTCACTTTAATTACACATGTAGGATGTTAATTGTGAGTAAAGTATAAGAATCTGTTGATTTGCACAAGCCACTTAATTCCTTTTTTTGGAAATAATGCAGAGTTAGATTCCAGATTAATTTAAGAAGGAATTTTATAATAAAGACTATAAATGAAGCAGGAGAAGTTGTAATTATAATTGACTTGGTTATTGGAGGAAGAGTTAGCGTTATTAGTAGATCCTTATGAATAAGGAGGATAAATTGAGAGAATGACACAGTTAACTGTCTATGATTTGTAACAGAGAGTGGCTTGATTGGAGAAAAGTTACTTAACTTAAAAGGCAGTTTCTGGAACTGAAGGGTTAATTTCACCCGATGGGTTGAGAAGGTAGAAGTCCGTTTAGCAAGCCGTGGTCTAGGAGTGGAGAGGGTGGAAGTCCGTTTTAGCAAGCCGGGTCTGGGAGTGGAGAAGGTAGGAGTCCGTTTTAGCAAGCCGGGTCTGGGAGTGGAGAAGGTAGGAGTCCGTTTTAGTGAGCCGAGGTAAGGAGTGGAGAAGGTAGAAGTCCGTTTTTAGCAAGCCGAGGTCTGATACAGGCAGGAACGGGGTAAAGCAGCTGATCACTTTTTCAGGTACCTGTGCAATAATCCAGCGTTTTGAATCTGGCGCGGTCTTCCTAAGTATCGTTGAAGGACCGCGTCAGAAAAAGGGGCGGGGCTAAGCGCCGTGAACCCGGAAGTGGGTTCTTACGGCGGAATGCATGTCAGGCTATACCTGACAGAGACAAAGGATACAGCTGGCCTTTGGGTGGCATAGTACCTGGTAGGAGGTCTATGGCACAGTCATAAGGTCGGTGTGGGGGTAACGTCTCGGCATTGGTTTTATTAAAGACTTCCTTAATCTTGATATATTGTGGAGGAACTACTGTAGATAATGGATTGGCCGTTGCAACATTAATACGACCAATAGGTTTGACGGAGAAAAGACATTGATCCTTGCATCCTGGGGCCTGTCCTCCCCCTTGTCCTAACCACCAACGGGCCTCCAACTTGGCTTACCATACCACAATGCCAACCACTAGCCGGCCTTTGGCTCAGTGGGCACGTCCGTTTACCCAAACCATGTACCAGAGGTTAGGGGAGGGATCAGCCCCAACCTTCCTTCTTCCCCATGTTCTCCTGATCTAATCCCGATTGGCAAAGTCCTTATCCGCCACTAGCACTGCTGCTTTACGCCTAAATCAGCGGGAGTGAAACCCCACCAGCGCAATGGCGTGCTCCAGAACATCTCGCAGTGCGAGGTTGAAAAGATCAAGGCCCACATCAGTATAATGTACACCGTCACTGCAAAAATAAATTGCTCTGTCCCGCTCAAAAATGCGGGGACGCACTGCAAGACCCCTGATCGGCAATACAAACTGAGAAATCTGCTTGTTCAGTTTGATCATGCCCTCTGGTCGCAGGTGCACTTCCAGTAGTTGCGCGCTACCACTTCTGACCACACCAAGCAGACTTTCAGGAACAATATCATGTCCCCCAACCCCTCAATGGACAAGTGCCCGAAATATTACACTCCCAGGTGTATTACCACAACATCCGGAACACCCAGGAGCTCTGACAGTTGAACCAACTCTGTAAGTAGCTGTAACCAGCGCATCCCCCGAGTCACAAACCACCAGACATCCGCCAGCACCGGAGAAAGGCCGAGGCGATTTCCGCTAGGGCTAACCCCTGCCTGATGATGGGCCCAGTATATGTAAGAGTGTCCAATTAGCCCGGATGAACTCTGTGGAGAAAACATAAGGGAAAACACAATCAACCCAGATGGGCGCATGTAGGACCGGAAAAGCCTACCAATCCTACGAATAGCCTGCTCAGAGAAGCCCAAGCAAGATGCTTCCATCGCCTCCCCAATGCGGAAGGAATTACCTGGATGAGAAACCTCGTTCAGCCCAAGGTACCACAGCTTTGTCAGGCAACATTCCGCGTCTGTCCCAGGCACTCTTAACGTTCTTAACACCCGGCACTGCCCTACAAGTGATATTCAAGGCCAAGCAGCGTGGTACTAAACACCTCAAAAGATGCACCACAGGGGGAGGTGAGGCCGACAAGCTGTTAATGGCTAACACCACCCCTAGGTTGTCACAATTGAACACTACACGCTGATCCTGAAGAAACGACCCCCACAGATACACTGCCATTATGATCGGGAAAAACTCCAGGAATGCCAAATTCAAGACGCACAAAGTGATATGGTTTCAGCACACCCAAAGTCGCGGCCGCAATTCGCCTATTGAATACCCTGTCCATTTGCATGATCTGACAAGCAAAATGAAATTTGCCCAGGAGCTACTGCAGCCGATGCAGCATGATCTTCCGGAGATCCTTTGCGGTCTCAACCGCTGCCTGCATGTCCCCCACCTTGTCAGCCGGCAAGCAGCACTCCCCCACAACTGAGTCAATCTCGATCCAGAAAAAGCTCAAGCAAGTGGTAGGGCCCACCATTTTGTCTGGCGCAAGGGGAACCCCAAAGAAACTAGTAATGTCCTCAACCGACTAAAGCAACTGTGAGCACACCAGAGACTGGGCAGGTCCAATGCATAGGAAATCGTCTAGTTAGTGAAGGAGAGAGTCGCGACCTGACTCGACCCTCACCACCCAGTTCAAGAATGAGCTAAAACACTCAACATAAAAACATGAAATTGAGCACCCCATCGGGAGGTTCAAGTCCACATAATACTGGCCGTCGAATATACAACCCAGCAGGTGATGATATTCCAGGTGCACCGAGAGGAGGCGAAAAGCTGATTCAATATCAGTTTTCGCCATCAGCGCCCCCAGACCCGCCACCCGCGCCATTTGCACTGCTGCATCAAACGAAGCGTAGGAAACTTGACTTTATTCCGCCGCGATTTCATCATTTACTGAACCCCCTTGGGCGGTAAGATAAATGATGTATTAACCTAAACTTCCCTGTTTCTTTTTAGGAACCACACCCAAAGGGGAAACCTTAAGGTGTGGGAAAGGCGGCTCCCAAAAGGGGCCAGCCATGAATCCCAGTGCCACCTCCTTGTTCAACTTCTCCTGCACCACTGCGTGGTCCCACATTGAACGAAGGTTCCGACAAGATGTGACCACTGTTTGATACCGGTGAAGGATCCAAAAAACGTTGAAACCCGCGAGTAGCAGCGCTGCTGCTTTCCTCTTTTTATATTGACTTAGCCAGGGGCAACGTTAAACTGGCTTCCTTGCCCTTAGTGCCCAAGGCTTCCCCTCTGTCCCCATCCTTGCCCCGCTTAAAGCAACGGGAGGCGGGATGGGATCCCCGCAAACTGAGCATTAGTGCTTGAACTTACACCCTGTGTCCCATTTACACTGGCTGTCATTGTATAGCCAGCAGCAGCCAAATTTGTTCTGGCCCACTGATGCGGTGGAGAACCCACCCGTGGCAGCACCCCCTAGAAAGGACGCTAGGCCCCCTTGGTGTGATTCCGGCCACGTCATGATGGCTAGCCACAGACCGATGTCCATTTGGTCCCACTCCGTGGACGGGCACGTCGCCAACCGTTGGCTGAATTGCTCGTCGTAACGCCACCAGGTTAAGCCGCCATCAACCCAACATGCATTCCAAATGAGATCCTGGTAGCAAAAAAGAGCCGAACATTTGTCCGGCACCTTCTCCCCGATCACACTGGGCAAAATTGAAAAAGCCCTGATCCAATTACCGAAGGTTTTTGGGATTTTCAGGTACCAGAAACGCTCCCTGTCCTTCTCTGACTCCTTAGAGTCCTTACCCACCTTGGGTAAGTCTTCCATAGGGAGAAGGGAAAAATTTTCCAGAAACTCCCCCTTTCAAATTTTTTCTTTCATCTCCTGTTTTAAGTGAAGGCCCAGAGGTCCCAACCAACACATGTACCTCTGTTACCTCCCCCCAGGGATGCTTGTCCCAGGAGACAGTTCAGTAGCCCCCCCTGTAACCCCTGTAGACACCACAGGCACCCCCTGCGGCGGGACAGGAGTGGAAACCGATTGGCCAAGTCCCCCCCCCGGGTCGATGTGGAAGGCGCAATCTTTGTGGGACTAAGAGCGTACCACTCAGCCCACAGTTGGCTATCCACAGAATTTGGCAGTGAAGGAGGAACTGCAGTATTACATTCCCATGAATTCAAGAAACCCCTTGCACTCCTAACTAAGCCCCCACCACTCCCAGCTACACCAGACAAGCAAGAATACTCACACCGGAATTTTAAAATGGCTGAGGTAAGAAGGGAAAATGCCCGCCTATATTTAGTCCCCTCTCCCCCCTTACCACACCCTTACCTAACACTCCTCCTCACTTACATCTATACTTTCCCCACACCCACACATGCCCTTTACCCGGCCAGGCTTTGGCTGCCTCCTCAAGCTCTTCTCCCTTACAGGCAGAGTGCCTCCAAAAGGAAGCTAGCTCTGCCCTCCCACCCTGTGTATACTCCCTCCCGCCCTGTGTGCCCTCCCTCCCGCCATTGCCGGAATTGGGTTGTTGGTTTCTTTAAGCCGCCTCCTCCTTACTCCCTCCCTACCACCCTGCCATGTGCTCTGAGCCAGCAAAACTGTCCAATCACAGGCTTCTGAGAGAAGTCTCTGATTGGACCTCGTGCCGCTGCTCTCACATGGTGCTGGAATCCAAGTAAGTTATAACTTTATTTTATTTTTTATTTTTCTTGGGTGGGAGGGCTAAAGTATCAGGCATTATATTTCGAAAACAAAAGCATAAAAGGGAGTGAAGAACATTCATTCTGCCCAAAACACAGATTATATATAATGAATCACAGAAAGGTAAAAAATACAAGAAAGGGCTGCGCTTGGATAAAACTTTAAATAATACGAAAAGTCCAGATAAAATAAATGGATAAAAGGAGAAAGTCTTATCTGGCAATATCCGTTGAAATCGTATTATATGATGGTACTTGGTTCAAAACAGTAGTCTTACTTATTATCTTCCTTGGAGGTCGTCTCGTATGTAAGAGATAAAAACAAATACAGAACCATAGTGTAGTATATCTTGGATAGTGAAGGAAGTAGAAATGAAAAACTTGATTGCAAACTCACATTTAAAAGAGCTAGAACCCGCTCTGGTATAAAGGGCGTACAGCGGTTTAGATCCCCGCTTGTAGGATATGGAATAACTCTCCTTCGCGTACTTCCTCCTTCCGTAGTATGAAAGACACTTGGACACTTTCTTGTATTTTTTTTATCTTTCTGTGTTTTATGTAAGGGTTTTTGAGGGATTCCCTTATAGGGTTGCTGCTAATCTGTGTTATCATGCGCTTACTCATTGTTCTGGTTTATTCTGTTTTAATTCCCTCTCGAGTCAGCAGCTTTTTAACTGCATTATGTCTATTTTCGATTTTAGAAATAATTATATCATTGATGTAGAAAATGTTTTTGATACGGAAGCTATTAGCCCCATGCATATTAATTACCCCAAGGTAAACCAGGAAGAATTATTTACTAAATTAGAAAATATTTTAAGCAAAGAGATTAAGTTAAAATGGGAGATAGCTACCCTAAAAAAATACATCGATGAACAAATCACTCCTCGAGGCTTACAACTACTCAAACTACCCACCTCAGACCAAGACGATTTAGAATTTATGGAAGAGTGGAATAATAAGTTGGAACTTTGCACTTTAGGTCTCATGGAAACTTTAATAATAAAACAAAGTAAAAATTTGTCAGTTTTAGATGTAGAAATTAACGACATTCGAGACAAACTTCTGCCATTTACAGAAACACAGGCATACAAACAAAATTCCATTCTAATTCAAAGTAAAATCGAAAAGGTCGAAATCGAAACAAAACATATAAAAATAAAAAATATATTAGAGATAAAACGGATTACACAAATAAGCAAGTCAGAACTTACCATCTAAATAAGAAATATACCTCTCAATATCCTGTACAAAAAAATAACTCTACAAGAACCAATACCTATTGTGAACAGAAACCCTACGAAAACCCAGAGAGGCAACATTTTAAATACCAATCTCATCAATATCAGAATACTAACAAACCGTCACATTCACCATAGAACACGCACATACATAGGGCACCTAGCAACCACTCTCGTGGTCCCCCACAACGATCCAACCATTACAATACTCATCAATATCACCCCTTTCCACAACGTAACTGAAACAATTCATATCGTACTTTTCACAATACTTCACCAACATATCACAATAGATCAGGACCTCAATATAAACACCTGTCCCCTAAACCACAAAGATCAAAATATATTAATGACCATAAAGAATATTTTAATTACGCCAAATCACCCACGATTCCGAATCACCCCAACAGATTTCAACTATTGTCATTAGATTCCGAATTCGAAAATGAAGATCATTTTTTAGAAATTCGAACCAAGCACACCACACTAGCCCAAACACCTCACCCCTCACGCCCGAAAAAAAGGATTCTAAATTTAGAGGAAGAAGAAGTGACAGACGCGAACAAAAGAGAAAGACTAGAAAGATAACACCCTCTTTTATTAGTACTAGTAGCGGCATTTTTAACCTCTCACAAAAAATTTTAAGCAGTGCACATATAGCGGTTTTAACTAAAGGTCTTAAGTTTGCCCCTACTAATACTTTTAAATCTTTGAAGCTATTATTGATGTTAACAAATTTGTTCGAAAAGCCACCCTCAAAAGATTTTTTATGGAAAAAACTGAACAAAATGTTACTCAAACCCCGCCAATACCCTCTCGGAATGACAACATCATTAATAATTCGCTCAGAGAGAAATCTACTTTTTATCCTGCTCATTTTAAATCTGCTCCCTTCACTATGTTTGAAAAACTAGTCACAAAAGACCTAGAAAAAATAAAAAATAATAAATATGACCCCCATAACCTAACACATTCAGAAAAGCTGGCATTAAAAGAACTCCAAAATGACAAAAATATTGTCATTAAGCCAGCGGACAAAGGTGGAGGAATAGTCATCCAATCAACTCAAATGTACATAGATAAGGCACACAGACAACTAAATGATGTTAATGTGTATGAAAGACTTTCATCAGATCCTATTAAACAAATCCAAAACGTTTTTATCCAATTTTTAAATAAAGGCGTAAATCAAGGCATTTTAAACAAACAAGAATTTAATTTTTTAAATAATCAATATCCTGTAACACCTGTAATATACTTCCTCCCGAAAATATCCTGTAACACCTGTAATATACTTCCTCCCGAAAATCCACAAAAATGAAACCTTACCGCCCGGAAGACCAATTGTATCTGGCATAGGTTCCCTTCTATGCAATCTTTCCCAATATATAGATATTCTTTTACAGCCTTCAGTCAAACTCATGAGATCATACCTCCAAGAGTCCATGGCTCTTTTAAATTTTTTAAACAATTTTATATGGAAATCTAGTTTTATATTAGTGACATGCGACGTTCAGTCACTATATACCATTATACCTCATGATATAGGCTGTCAAGCTGTAAAAGATATTTTAACTAAGGAAGGGAAAATTGCAGGTCAACAAATAGATTTCATTTTAGAAGGTATTAACATTATATAAAAAACAACTATTTTTGGTTTTTAAATTCTTTTTATCTTCAAAAAAGAGGTACAGCCATGGGGACCAGGTTTGCTCCCAGCTATGCAAACTTATTTATGGCCGACTGGGAGTCAGAAGCCATTTTTAGTAATCACGCGTGCAGAGCAAACCTGGTCTCCTTTTTTAGATATGTCGATGATCTTTTTTTTATTTGGGATGGTACTGAAGAAGCACTTAACTCTTTTATTACCAATCTCAATTTGAACAACAGAGGCATAATCCTCACCTATGAATATAGCAGAGAACAAATAAATTTTTTAGACCTCAATATTTTTATAAAAAATGGAAAGGTACACACAAAGACTTTTTTTAAAAAAAGTTTGTGTTAATACTGCTATTGACAAGAATAGTTGTCACTACCAACCGTGGTTAGACAGCACTCCAAAAAGCCAAATACTTAGACTTAGGAGGAATTGTTCAGAACTAAGAGATTTCGAAATACAAGCAAACCTTTTAAAAGATAAATTTGTTGAAAAAAACTATCCAATATCAGAATTAGAAAACACCATTAGGGACATTCAAAAAAAAAAAAAAAAGATAGGAAAGAAACTTTTAAAATATAAACCCAAAACTACAGATACAAAAATGCCCTTACTGATTATTTTTAATTTTAATAACAAGAGTAACAATGTAAAAAATGTCATAAGAAAACACTGGCATCTTCTAAAACAAGAAGAAATATTAAACAAAATTATACCGGAACGTCCGAATATTATATTTAGGGGAGCCCAAAATTTTAAATCTATATTAACCAATAATTTTACAAGAGAAACTAAAAAAAACCCTCCTGTATCCTTTTTCCCACAAATCAAAGGTTTCTGTAAGTGTAAAATGTGTATTGTGTGTAGAACCACTAATCCTGATGTTCCTCATAAAGTAACAGAATTTGTATCAAAAAGGACAAACAAGGTTTACAAAATAAATGATTTTATAAATTGTTCCACAAAAAAATGTGATATATCTGCTCGAATGCCCTTGTGGCCTCCAATATGTTGGAATGACCACAAGGTGCTTAAAAATACGTTTGAGCGAACACTGCAGAAACATTAAAAATGGATACTTGAATCATTCAGTATACAAACATTTTATTACACATAATAAAGATCCTAAAATGTTGAAATGTATTGCTATAGGAAAATGCACATCCCCATGGAGGGGTGGAAATATTAAAAATATCTTAGGCATAAAAGAAATGGAGTGGGTTTATAAACTTCAAACCCTTGCACCTTATGGTTTAAATGTTGATTTTGATTTGTTTAATTTTTTATAAGGAATGTTCATCTTTTTATTATCCTTTATAATTTTTATTCAATCTTTTATTACATGTGCCTTTTTTATATTTACAATCACTTACTTTTTAGCCACCATGCCTGCTCACACTATTTAGTGGACCAGGCATGGTGATGTTCATTTTATTTAACTTTTATTTCAATTTTAATTTTATTTTAATTTTATTATTTTTTCTCAATTTATCCTATTCTGGCCGGCCGCAGCTTTTGTGCGGGCCGACGTGTTTATTTGATCTCCATGACGATGGCTGCAGCTTTGTGCCAGCCGTCGTGTATTTACATACCCCTTCTTGATGACGACGGCCTCAGTTCCGTGCGTGCCTCCGTCATCATCATTATCTCTGCCCCCCTTCCCGACGTCTTTCACCACGCCCACTGGCGTCAGCCGCATCCCCCCAGCGAGCTGATGCCAGTTGCCCGC